CTGCTTCACGGTTTCTGCTGTTTGTCCCACCCACCTCCAAATTGGCCTGAACGAACAAGATTACAGATAGGAGCTGAATATTCTTTCTCGGCTCATGATGTGACGGGACGTGATTATCGTATGTGCCATCTGTTGTGGTTTAAAAATCCATGTCAACCGGCCCTTCCATTTGAATGTATTAAATACATGCCTATAGTCATTTGTTGATGCTATATGACGCTCTCGAAGGATGCACCTAACTATACCAACTTTCTGGAAACGTTTTTTGTATTTGGCTCGCTTGTGCTTGGCGATTTTTAGGTTTCCGTGCGTAACATGGACTTCATTGTTCCTCAGAGGTACGAGCACAATGGAAAAAAATGTCTCAGGGCCTTAGCCTTCCGGAGCCAATATATTCGATATATTCCACGAAAATATCTTTAATGTTGCGAAGTCAGTGTGGGTGGAGAGGATGGATTTGAGGACCCCACTGATCAATGAACAAACATAGCTGACTGAGACCCTAAGTAAAGCTATGGCAAAAAGANCCTAGGTGAAGCTATAGCAAAAAGAAAGCCTTGGTCGAGCTTTTGTCCCGCAAGAATTGTTTCCAAGACAAACGTGATTTTAGTGGAAAAATACACAGAGATTTATTAGAATAGCATACATGGTTTGTTAACCACTTACTGTCTGATGAGCATCGATTTCTACGTCATTGACTGTCTTCAGAACGGTGCCTGCGATCCTCGAAAACAGTTGACTTTAAGAGGAAGCCATTACCAGCTGGTTGCTGGGGTTCTGATGTGCAACCGGAAGTGGATTGGAAACTAACACAAATAGAATAGATTAGGAAGAAGGCAAACCTCCTGACAATAAATTGAGGTCCAACGTAGGTGAAGCCTATTAGAGAGACGAATGTACCCAGGCATGCCACCATGTTATCTACAAATAATCCTCCCATTAGTCTTTTCATTTGGGTTTGCAAGAAACCCTTCCAAGTAAATTAGAATAGCCTGGAACCGCCAAGTATGCACAATCGATAGTGGACCAAACGAGTCACCAACAGAGGTGAGGTGTTTTATCCAAACCTTGTGAATAGGAATGCGGACCGTGTGGAAGCATACAAACGTCTGGAGTTTCATTTCTTACGACGCGCACACCAAAACAGCGGTGTTTTTGGTCATATCAGAAAGGATTCGATTAAGCTAAAGAGCTTGTGGTTTGCCTGGAGAGTTAGGCTGTTGACAGAACTAAAACTAAAGGGCTTTCAAACCCCATTGATTTTATGGCTTGCGTTTCAAAGCTTCTGTCCTGTAGCACTCCTCCAGTATAGACTTTCTTCGTGGTATACAAGGATTTATTCACGAGTGACTAACTGTAAAATTATTTTGCCTCCTGAAAGATTTTTATTGAATCCAGACGACAACAGCTAACATTATATGATTTGCTAAACAAAAACAGCGGCAAGCCAGTCGGCGATTTCTTGAACTAGCCTTGTATGTCCCCAAATGTAATGTAAATGTTGCTTTCTCACGGTTCACTGACTTGATAGCCATTTGCTTGTCATCAGAGCGCAGGTCGGATACAGTGAATTATCGGTACTGCTGGAGCAACTAAAAACTCTCGGTAACTGAACAAACGACCACTGTCGGACTTTAACCAAAAAGACCTACGGAATATGGGTAAATCAAACGCGCTACTTGCTTCCTTTTTTATTCGAAAACTAGCATCTTTTGCATTCCCTGTTCGGAATTACCACTTGAGGATCGTTTGGACCACAAGTTCTGCCGGTCACATAACGTTAAAAAGAATCTCCACCCTTCTGTATATCCTCTCCTGTAATTTTATCAACATCCAGTACGACGTACGTAGTTAAAATATCGTGGATGACAGGGGAATTGTGTAATCGATACATAGGAAAATATCAAAAGAATTTTCTTAAACCCGCACAAGAGAGATATTTCCAACGAAGATGCTTTTGAATGCCCACCTCGTCCACAGGCAACGCTCAGGAACTTTCGCTTCGTTGTGACACAACAACACCGTCAAATTGGGAAACTGAGAATCCATTGCATCAGATACAACATACAAAAGAGCAATGATTCATTGCAATTTTGCCATTTTTTTACTCGCCGTTCACCGAATGTCCTCTTTGTGATAAGTGATACGCAAAATAAGCACCTTTGATTACTAAATACAAATTGACATCAGATTCATCGCGGTGATAGCGCGTTTTTTTTCGAGATAATCACCAAGACCTGATATATTTTCTTTGTGTGTGTGCGACCGACGGCTGCATGGAGCAAATTTCTGCGATATGAGGTTAAATGTGCCTTGAAGACAAAATCGATTTTTGGTCGATGGATTACTGTATGTGTTTCCTAAACTTAAATCGTCGCCAGCGTGTTTTGAGTACAATAATGAATGCCTATAACGGGGAAGCTAAACCAAATAGCATATCGTTAGTTTCTTTTTACCGTACCCCTATTCACTGCGTGCTTATGAAATTATTGTTACTCCTTTCTTCTGTGTCAGGAACAGGACCTTAGGAATTATATGGCATCGCACAAGAACCGACTCCCTATGGACACAGTCAAGTCGTTCATGTGTCAAATCTTCCGCGCACTAGCGTTCTGTCACGAACGCCGCATACTCCACCGGGATCTGAAACCTCAAAATCTGCTAATCACTAAAAACCGTGAATTAAAGTTAGCAGACTTTGGTAAGACATTGTTTTTCGTATTTTCAGCCGATTTTTCTATATTGGACGAGGTTCAAGCCGAAACGTATATATATAGACAGGGGTTTCTTCAATGGAACTATTCCTTGTTGATGCTTTTGCGGGAGACAGCTTTGAAACCATCGGGACAATTCAATTTTAATAAAGGTGTACTTTTAGCGACGATGTGTGCACGATATATTCTCCATTATAAAGATACCTTCACAGTTAATGTGGTTTTCAACGGATTTTGCTCAAGCAAGTCCAATGCTTCAACTTCCATCAACTGCCAGGCTTTCCAATTTAGTGGAAAAAAGTTCACGGAGTGGACAATACGCCCCCTTCAACTGCCATGTCCCACTGGAGCACAAACGTTTTTAATCTGGCATCTTACCGATGGAACAATAGAAATCTGCTATAAAAGCGAGCTGCACTCTATGGTTCGCAAAAGCTTCGCGAAAAATATTACCAGAACAGGTCCACTTCAGTGGCATATGTTACTGAAAAAAATAAACTTGTCACGGTCTAAAGAAAATCCATTTTCTCTAATCTCCCTCCCGGAGACCATATAGCCACAGGCTGTGCGCCCCTACATCACATATGTCGGGAAAACTTTCAAACCGCTTCACTAAAAGCATGGTTTACGGGCACTCAGAACCAAGCTGTTTGGCCAGGCTAAATGCGTGGTAATCTCCCCTTCATCCGCTGTTCTACAGCATTATACGTATGGAACCACACAAGACAGACAATCAAGGAGTGTAAGCGCAAGAGCCAGTATCAGTATTCGGGTGGTTTATTCTAACTTCTTTTAGGCAACCGTGTCAAGCTCTCATCTGCTTGCCATTATATGGCCAATATCATTATCTGTCACAGTGATTTTCTGTCAGTGATTCACCCACATCACTCGAATATGTGCATTCAGGAACTGCTGGCACGCGCGTTCATATTTCGGCGGTCAGCTCACTTTAACGGCTAGCCAATCAAGTCAGTCGACTTTGGCGTACACAGTTGTCGCACTTTTTCTCACAGAATCACCTCTATCCTTATCCTGCATGAAGTATCTTTCGTTTGTAGTTTCGTAAACCCTCAAACGTTTTCGAGAACAAGAGGTTGCTTAATTATCAAATTTTGTCAGCTTGTGTTCTGAAGTTAATAATGACTCTCGTGAATGACTCACGTACTCATGAAAATTCATTTGCTGTTGCATTTGATTTGAGGTGTTATTACTCTTTTTCTGGTTCGGCTTCCCCGAAGCTGGCGACAAACTTCAATAATAGTTGCTGAGAAGTTTATCAAACATCCTGGTGTTTGAGACACCAGCTTATCTGTAAACTCCAGATATTAGTAGTGAAATAAATTAATTAAGTTGAATAAGACGTTGTAATGAATGGAACGGGTAGGACTGGCTAGTTTTCCTGTATATTTGTACATTTGGTAGCCATGTGTACTTCTACGTTCTTTCGAGATAAATTCACGTCTGGTTCGACAAACTAATCAGCAAACTTATATGGAAAGTAGACATATGTGACTGGACTTTTCCTTTACTATAAAAATCCCAGAAAATAGTGGGTTAACCGTATAATGAATATTGAGTTTGCATGTTGACAGGAAGGCCAAGTTACTTACCTTGTGTGAGGGATTCTGCTATGATGAATCACACCCTATTTTGTTGTACGCATGGATTCTTTACTGGCGTGCATTACGCATTGTTGTCAGTTCTATTCAACCGTTATGCATGTAAAAGCTGTCGACGAAATGTCCTCAAACTAAAAGCTATGATTGACCTAGGATCTACTCAATCAGTATGTCTTTCAAAAATGCGTGCACTTTCCTTGAAAAAGTAGCTCAGCGGAGAAATGAGTTGACATGTTGAGTGAAACTGCCATCTGAGAATTCGTTTGTCGAGGAAACGGTCAATCTAACCGCGACTATGTAATCTGGCTTCATTGACTGAAGGAGAAACCGAGCTGTGACAGTTACTCACACCCACATCGATTGGTGGTCAAACCTTTGGATGCTCGAACTAATGGCTGGGCGCTCGCTAGCTTTTGTGAGAAGTGCCCTGACGGTGAGCCGCAATAAGCGGTCTAGTGCTCCTTGGCCTTTCAGCATAGGCTGCCTTCATCTACAGAACAAATGACCCACTGGTAAATCACCTACCAACGCAACCTTGTTATGCTATCCCGGCACTGTTCAAAAGATGTCTTGATAAAATTTCTGAAACAGAAAGACGATGTCAATTTGAGTTTTCCCAGCAAGTGTGGAGGTCTTCATGTATCGTGTCAGAGTTTGAACAAAGACTAGACATCAATTAATCTGTAGATACGTGTCGAGTGGCTTTAGGATTTCTATGGATTTATGTCAGCAATTTTGTACAATTGTCATTCAAGAATTGCTCCGGTGTCTGAACGTGGGAAAGTTAAATACGACAATGTGTGAAAATATTTTGGCTAGTCGGTACTCTACCGGAAACAATGCTCGGAGTTTTCTTGAAATCACTCATGAAACAGCTAATCACGGACTTAGAGTTTGGTAATATGTGATCTTTTTTATACTGGGCAGAATCATATATAGGAAAAATAATTATTTCTATTATGTATCTATAGTGGTGACAAACGTTTCATTTACTCTTCTCCCGTTCCTGATATCCGTATCACTAACTGCTTGTTAGTTACACTATTTCCGTGGGTATTTTATAGAGTCCATATTTTTGCTTCATGCATATTTTAAGTTGAATCACGTGAATTTAACTTAAACTTGAAGTGCAATTGCTGTTGCCCAACGTGTTTTCACCATCATTCATCGCTGAATCAAGCTGTAAATCAGAATACACTACTCACCACTGAGAGAAGTACTTACACGAAGCGCTGGCTTCAAAGTCAGCGCCAGCGAACAAGTTGTCCCGGACAGTCATTGAACGCCGCCCTGTGTGTTTAGGGTAGTTTGCACGGATAGCTGACTACAGCATGCCGGCACCCTGAAGGAGCCAAACATCTCCATGTTGAGGGTGATGACCTTTTTAGTTGAACCATCTAAGCTGGAGAAGGTATTCGACCTGTCCTGGGAGTTGCCGTCTTTTATAAAGCTTGGGCTGAGTAGCGTCTAACAGTGAACGCTGTTAGGATTTCTTCCCGTTCTTCAAGGCAATCGGAATGGACAGCTGAACTCAAAAACGAGTCCAAACTAGTAGTAACTTTAACTGACTGTAACATGTCTACATTTTGTGACCACCTTTAATCAACACCTCTATGCCACTCCCACCAGGACTGGCGCGGGCAAAATCCATTCCCACGAAGACATATTCAAACGAGGTGGCTACCCTGTGGTAAGTAACAAATATTTTGTACCCTTCCAGACGGCACATCCCACCTACGGAGGTTCAGTGAAATAATCGCATCTACCTACACTTGCTCAATCGTTTTTGGGATGCAGTTGGCTTTCATAGAAAATAATTTGTTGGGACTAAACGGCCTTTTGTGTTGCAACGTCTAGTTCTTTACCACTTCATGCTAGCTTCCGAACAGCGTTTTTTTCTATAAATTCCCATGTTGTTTTTTGGTCATCTTTGTGAATTTTCCTTTCTCTACCTATCTTCTTCTGCGTTCTACCTGAACTAGTGGATGGTACTAAACGCATGAGTAAATCGAGTATTGCAGCTTGGGAAAGATTGCGCTGTAGTCCTGCTAGTAAGCTGATTCCTTAAGGTAGAATTGGTTAGGCATAGCATTTAGCTTTTGTGTTGTAAGACCATTCCTCTTCAAGTTCGTTATCAACGTGTCGCCTGAAACTTCTCTGCCTGCCTTCGAAACAATAAGGATAGATAATATTTGAAGGGAGTCCGCCCTCAGACACTACGTACAAGCACTTCATTACTATTTTGTTGTACATGTTACACAGGTTTTTCAAATGAAAATGATAAGTAGTTTCGTCACACGGTATTACTTGCGCTTTACACCTACAAAGTGTAAACTAACGCTATAAGATCCGATGGAATCAACCACCAATTTCATGCTTGCAGACCAGTCGGTCGAAGTGGTGGAAACATTTATCCAGCTGAGGAGGTATATAGGTGAATTACTTCTTGAGTCCAAGACATTAGGGCTCTTTTGCCACTCCCCGACATTTGTGGCACAGGCATCTTGTCTGTCATAGTCAGAACAAACATTTCGACGAGGCTATCTATACCGCTTTGTGAATCAAAAACGTAGCCCCTAGGAGCAGAGAATGTCAGGTGACCCTCAGTCATTGCTCGCCCGTGTCCCCAACCCACTGGCCGGGTCTGAGGAAGACATCGGACTGGCAATGTCTAAGATAGTTTTTCTAAAAAGTAACTCTTCTGTGGTCGACAGGCCACTATCGTTTTCCATTGCAGAGGGCTGTCTGCCTTTTATACAGTCCTGTGCTGTGTAAAAGTGACCAGAATATGGACAGTGTATGACGGGGCAACGACGTATGAACGTAACGACCAGCGAAATCGTCACTGGTTCAAGCAGCTGGCAGATATGGCTCAGTCGCGCGGACTGTTGCATCCGAGGTTTCGCTTTCAAAGCGTAGTAGTTCGGTTTTCCGTCTTTTTAGACCATTAACTGATTAACTTACTGCCTTTATTTCCTGGCTATATCTTCCCCGCTCTCACACTCTCTTCTGACCGAAACTCTGGAGCAGACGTACTTTTGGTACGTTGGTTTCTAGCTTGTAAACTGAACTGGACGGTAGAGAACCGACAGAAGCAAGAAGTGTTCTTTAATTTCAAGCCTGAATCAAACTCAGTATTAGTGAATGATAAGGATTATCAGAAGATTGTGCTTGTCGGATTTTCTTTGAGTGACGAAGGCGAATGGCACAACTTGTATGCGTTACACTCAATCTCCACAGTTAGAGCCAGTATGTAACATCTAAAGTAGGATAGTACAAAAATAACTCGCCTGGTCCAGCTTCGTAATTTTCTACGAAGCGGACCATCGCATCCCGCAATCTTGTTTCGGCTTTGAGTAGAAATGAGAAACAGTCATTGATAGCTGCAAAGAACTAATTCCTCATTTTCCACGCGATCCTTTCGTTAGTATTTTAATGCTGGTTACGTCTTACCGTGATACGATAGTAGGCGACAAGTCACCTTAGTCGAGTGTGGTTACAGATTCGGATACCACTGGTTGTCGAGCACTCAGAACTTTGGTTCTTTTCCACAATAGAACATGTTAACTCTATAACCAGCCCTCATGACGTCAGTTTCTACCGGTAGATATTCTTGTAGCTGAAGCCCTCTGCAATGAAATGTACGATTCTCAAACTTAGTATCAAAGCGCTTGGTGACTTTATAGATATTTAGATAAGGGAGTTAAGCACCGGGGTTTTTGATAAGTTCGGTGTCTATGTGGGTTATGTAAGATTATTTACTTTATCAAATTAACTAGGATAGCAAGAAAAGTAAACTAAAGTTCTCATCAGTCGGAAAACACCGCATCCGTTGGCTCCAGTCAGACTGAAAATTTTCGCAATATATTTGGAACACTTCATCCGAAAGAATTGCTTTTAATCCGGCTGTTGGCACTCATATTCGCAACTCTGTCCGGAACTATCAGGTATCGACCACCAGACGTTCTTCTCGGAGATCGGAACTACTCTGGACATATTGACATATGGGGCGCCGGTTGTATTTTCTACGAAATGGTCACTGGACGAACTCCATTCCCTGGTGACTCCAAGGAGAACCAAATATTTGTTATTTTTAAAAAGATGGGTAAGTGCAACCAAAAAAACAGTCTGCCAATACAATTTTTGCATTGTCCGTCGCTCTGACTTTCTTTCAGTGTGTTCGGCAAATGACGTCTGTCAAATGATGTCTGATCGCAGGCTGCTGTTTATTATCCGTTGTGCGGGCGATTATCTGTGGAGTTTGTAGCTTTAGAAGGACACCAAATAGGCCAAGATAGGTTAAATACAATATGCTCCCGTGCATGCTGACGTAAACGCACCTGCAGCTATCAGGAAACACGGAACCACTGCACTTTTGTTGCACTTTTGGAACTCGTCCTGGTACATGCCCGCTAAAACCGTCTATCAACGATGTGAGTGAGGCAGAAAATATATTTATTCACACTGAAGCGACCACAAATATATCCCATCCCTGGAAAAAAGAAGTCAAAATCTTGCAACCGTTCACACTCTTTATGGTTTTCGGCAGAATTTTACTCGTGTGTTTTTATGTAAAATCTTTCTAATACGATTCCCCAAATACTATACTACTGCAACACTACTACTATGCTATGTTTCTATGCTATGCTCTATGTCACCAAAAAAGCTACAAGCTTTGATGGCATGAAGCGTTGCGGTTTAGCGTGCAGCATGCTTGCAGAATGCTTTAAAAATTGTCCGAACCATTTTACCGTGCAGCTCACAAAAGAATGCTTCAAAAATTGTCCGAACCATTCCGGTAGTAATGTGTCGAAAAATGACGTTTCAGTTTAGTTGCTTGCAGATGCTTTAAAAATTGTCCGAACCATTCCGGTAGTAATGTGTCGAAAAATGACGTTTCAGTTTAGGAGCACTCTACAAATCAATAAAGAAAGTTGAGCCTTACGGCTTGGTAATCCATTATCTCTAGAGAAAGAACGTCTCTGAGAATAGTCGTCACGGAGAGACTGGACCTTACCGTGGTGTGATGGTTTGCGCACCTCAGCGATCCACTGAGATATACTGGAGAGTGGCCTGCAACACTCACAGTGTCTCTCCCACCAGGTTGGTCAATGGTTAGAGGTCTGACGAACACAGTCTCCTGGCCATCCAGGTTGGGGGTTGGAACATGTGGCGACTTGTTTCGTAGAAATGGTAATGCATTTGCATTTCCCGCCAAACACCGCTGCCTTGTGGTTAGGCTTTTGAGCCAAAGGCTTTGGTTGAGGATTCTAATCGTCCTCCTGTCGAGATGTGGGCGACTTGGCAGTATCCCAGCCCT